TTTTTTTTTTTTTTTTTGAAGATTATGTGTCACATCAATGTGACGTAATGTTTACCAAAATTAATGGAGTTTGTTACAATTTAATTTGGTAAGACTTTTTGGATTGATTGAAAAGCAATATTTTTATTTTGATATGTATCAAGTGTCGAGATTTTTTCTGCAATATTTAACTCCAAACAATCCGAAAAAATTGTGAAATTTGTTACCAAAAGAAATCACAAAGATTATCGACAATATACTGTTTGTAAATAACTATGAAGCGTGTTACAAAAAAACCAATATTTTAAAAGATTTATTATCACAATTATATCAAATATGTTAAACAAAATTCGAGATTTGTTATCATAATCCGATCATGTTTGTTACCAAAATCTGATTAAATTGGTTAACATGTGGGGCCACTGTTATTATTTATATTAGTAAATCAACAATTATTTTTTTAAGTCAAAATGATTATTTTTATATTTTCTAACAACCGATTTATATTACTATAGATGAGAAAAATAACATAATATTGATGTGATTATAAATTAATAATTTTTTTAACTTCAAAATAATATATATTGCGGTGTTTTTTAATTAAGTGTTGGTTAGTATTTGATATAATTTTTCAACTTTAGCATAACTCATTTAGAAATCAACATAATACATTGTAATAAAGTATGAGTATGAGGAGAGAGAGAGAGAGAGAGAGTAATATTCTTATGATAATGTTTAAAATATGTTAAATTTTTATTATCATTAATTATAAACATGAACTCTAAAATGACAACTATTAACGAATAACATAAACATATAAATCATATATTAAATTGTTATATCACAGAATAAAAAAGAATAATATTAATAATCAAAACTATTTTTATACTAATCAATATTTTATTACTTTAATACAAACATTTTATAATTATCGCCCCGTGCACGGACTACGTACTAGTATTCCTAGGGAAACAAGTTGAAAATTGCCATGTTACAAAAGTTCGATATCGCTATGGTTTCAGAAGTCAGGTCCATATCCATTTCCAGTGTATCTGTTACAAGTATGCTTCAAGTCATGAATGCAAATATACATCGATGATAGGTCACTTGTCTTATGCTATATCGAGTCCAAGCCAAAAAAAAAAACCTTCTTTTTCTTTCCACGAGTTTAGAGAGACCATTTTTCTTCACTTGTTTTTTTCTACCTAGCTATGCAGATTGTGATGTAAGGAAACGAGATATGGAAATTGTCGTGCAGACCTTATGAAGTGACGCCTTGTCTCATCCATTTTGTGACTGACCATTTTTCTCCTGAGAGTACTGCACACCCGCCATGTAAGCTGTTTGGATCTGATTGTCCATTGAGCCCCTGGACAGTAAATCATTTTGCAATGGAAAGTTACGAACGGCAAACTGATAAACAGGTCCAAGATTAGGAAAAAAAAAAAAAAAAACAGGAATGTGTGACTAACGATACAATTAATCATCGATGACTGTATTTTGTGCCAGTTAAACTGAACTAACTTTTTCGAACACTGTATATAATTGGATAACAATCTTTGATGAAACTGAGTCATATTTCCAGTAAGATAACAAGTTGGGGAAAGGAATAAAACAAAAAGAAAGATAACAAACCATGCTCCAGAAAAGCACAGCATCTCCTTTGACCGGTTTTACACAGAGGCCTGGGACCTTTTCGCCCCCACAGCTGCATTCTCCAGTGCCAGCCTAAAACTAAATCAGATTACAAAATATCCAAATGTTGTGATAAAGTCAAAGAAAAGCAATCATAGTAATGAAAATAAATAATGTATCTAATGAAACCTCAACCAACGTTCCCAACTCTTTAGATCATATTCATGTTATTGTGTGTTTGACTTTCTCATGAATCTGGCCTACAGTTAACTAATGAACCCAGCAACTGATCAATTCATGGATTATACTTCTCATTGGACATGTCAAATGAGAAGTAGCTTAACATCTCTACAGGTTCACAGGATAAAGCTCAACAGCCATGCAAGTTTGAAAAATTAATCGAGGTCACTGTATAATATTATGTAAACAAGAAGAGCGATAGATCTTGACATGGGACCACCTGCGGAAAGTATGTTTCTCCCCCTTCAACATTGTCACTGAGATACATGAGCATGGTTGCCACTCTTTGACCTCCGTGCTTCACATTGAACTGCGGAAAAGAACCTTAAAAACATTTAAAATCGGTAGGTGGAATGGTTATTACCATAGTTTAAAACTAGAAAGATACAATTAGTGTAAAAAAGTTGGAAAGGCACATAAATGAATATACCGTGTCAGAGAAGTAGTCGTGGTGCGGCCTGTAGAGCTCACCCTTTTCATACCTGTGCTTCTGCAGATGTTAGCCTTTATATTAAATCTCTGATTTTATTCTTAAAATGAGGATTTATGCATTAAAGAACTCACCTCAACACCTGAATACGCTCCCCGTTTTCAACTGGTACTTGAGAGTAGACAGAAATTCTTTTCTCAATTGCCTGGTGGTGTATTAAACACAGTTGTCAAAACCCCATTGAGATGTAAAGAACACAACAAATCTTTCCCAATAAAGGATTTTTACATTATATTAGCTTGAACATACTCAAACCTATCAAGACCATTGATTTTAGTTGATAAATTGGCATGGGAAAAACTCATCCCCAAAAGCTAGCTCAAAGGGAGAGAATGCGCAACCCATACTTATACACGATGATAGCCAACCAATCGATGTAGGGCAAATGGGTCGGGTCAAAATCCAACATCACCTCCAAACAAACAAAACTTGGGTGCTCTGATAACATGATAAATGGGCCTGGGTTGAACTCACCCCCAAAAGCAAGCTTAAAGAGAGAGAGGGTACCCTACCAACACTAGTCCACAATAACAGCCCAATAACTAATCGATGTGAGACAAACATAAACTTAACACTAATGAAATTCTGATACTCAACCAATCTGATGGAAAAACAGAATAGTAAGTTGCAGAATATCGAAATATTAAAAAGATTGACTATAGAATATAGATAATCATCCAGAAATCAATAAACAAAATATTGGCAGCTCGTTTTACCTCAATCATTGGATATTTCCTCTCTTCAACCGTTAGAAACATGCCAGAGCTAGTTCTAACTTTACTCTTCATCCCCTAGATAACATGTGAAATGAATGTTAAACTAAGATCTAGAATAGTGAAAGGCTGTATGCAACACCATGAATTTGATTGAACATCATTTAACATAAAGAAACACGATGTGGTGTGTGAGGAGTAACAAGTCAAGAAAATGAAATATTATATTTTATTAAAGATAAATGGAAACCGGAGCTTAAGCTTCCCAGCAGAAGATTCTTTCTGGCCAACAATAACAAATCTTGCCCAATAGCTAAGACTATTACAATATAATATTATTCCTATATTTATAATAATAATAACAGTCGAAGTAACAAAATAAAGATCTTCAAAAGGCAATCAATCCAGATTCTAAAAATCATCCCAAATCTCTAGATTATTCTTTCTTTCCTTAGTTAGTTGTTTAACTGTTATTTATTATTCAATATACTCTCCATGATTCATGCCTAGCTTCATCCAATCTCTATCAATATGACTACAGAGTTTTAAAGTTTATGAACCTGCATATAGTATACTCATGAAAAACAACACTGGAATCCCTTGGCGAATTTAACAATTAGTAGAAATATATTCACTCGAGAATATGAACTTTCAAAAGTGTGGTTGGATATAAGAGGGAAATGCAATGACTAAAGATGGTAAGATATTAAATAGTGAAAAAATATTCAAAAGGATCGGTTGTTTGAAAGATGTTACCTTGTGAACAATAAAGGAAATGTGTAATAATTATCGTTTTCTATTTAAAAACTGTATTGACTAAATTGAGGGGATGGGAGGCAAGAATGAGTGAATAGTATATTTTTAAAATATTTTGAACTATCAGAACTTTAAAGGAATGAAAATGAAAATTGTAGGTAACAAAATGGCAGCCAAAACTTTTCCCACCTTTCCGGTTCTTGTATCCACAACAGTAGAAACATGTAGACGAGGTTTGGCAATGGCTCTAAGATAATCACATTCCTGCAAAGCAAAGCAAAAGACAGAGAAATTAATTATCTATGTAATGACTAATGACTTTTAAGCCTATAGATACACAATCCAAATGGCACTTCCCTTCTAGAAATTTATCCTTTCCTCCGAAAAATCTTTCGCTTTAGTGATGATCTGCACCACCAATTTAACTCTCTACATGCTATTTATCCATGTTTTATATTCCAGTAAAAGCTTCGTTCAATAATAATTGGGGTTTACATTCCGAAGAGGCACATATGATTGAAGCTGACTTTTTCATGCTTCAGAACTCTTTTGAAAACTTGTCAAAGAAATGGGAAACTACAGTTCTCATATTAAAGAGGAAAAAGTGTTCTTTGTGCACAAACTAAATGTATAACCAGATAATTATAGAGCAAATGATTGAAAGGAATCCGAGACTGGAAACATGAATTTTAGAAAGTACATTGAAAACCTTCACTTCGGAAGACATGTCTGCAAGAATTGGGATGAAAGCCGGATATTCTTATCAAATTGTGATAAAATCTTATTAAAAAAAACTAGCGGCAAAAAAAAATGTACCACCACGTGCATCGTACGTGTCATTTACTAGTCGTTCTTAAATGATACTCCATCCATTTTAGCAGTCTCATTCTTCGATTTCACACATATTAAGAATCGGTAACTAATATGCATCGAAGAATCAAAAGATTTTAGTCTCCCTACTATATCCTTATTTTCTCTAATTGCACCACTAAATTATTTTTGAAATGGTCTTATTCAACAGGGGTATGGCGAGGACAAAAGAATTAAAAAAGCCTCAAACAAACAAGGGGCTACAATTTTGGTACAAAAGAAAAGTGAAGTTAATGGGTTAGAGCATAAAAATAGAGGGAGTGGATCTGCATTTTCATTTTCTGGTTTAACTCGATTTTGGCTTCGCTTTGAAACCTAAATCAAATTATTCAGTCATTGATAGATTAAAAGCCTTCTTTCTTGAAAAGGAAACATGAAATATAAGGTTGAAGAATTGCACTCTCTTACATATTATTCAACCAGCATTTAATATGATGCTTATGATGTATAATACAGTAACACTTACCATTAGACTTACGCAATAAATATATAAAAATTATATACTCATCATACCTCGGGACTCAAAAAGTTGTGAAATACAATGATACGAGGTGACCAGCTAATTACTTCAGGTTTCACCTGCATCACAAAAAGAAAAGATAGTTTATGGAAAAGAAAAGTAGAAATAGGAATGATATACAGTTGCAAGCCAGTGCCCATCTTAAAGAGGAAAATAGATTAAATCTAGTTGGATGTAACAAATGCTCAATGTACCAATTATTCGTCCATCAATGTTTGCAACAATGTTTGAAATACAATGTTTGCAACCGTATTACCGCGCACATCAACTCTAGATAACAACTACATGATACGGAAAGCTTGCTTCATATGATCGATCATTTTCTTTATCAATGATATTCAACCACTAAAGCACCACATTGCTGAATATGCACCAACTGAAATCATCATTCAGAGACTTGAGAGGGTACCAAAGGCATAAAAACATGGAACTTACATATCCGAGGCGCAGGGCAGCAGCTTCTTTATCACCCCAATAGGAAACATCTAATAAGAGATAACATGAGATCGAGATGGTTATTAAAGTAGACTGATATAAATGTTTCGCGAATGGCAGCAACACATACAGAAGTTTAGCTTGACAACTATAGGAACCTCAAGCAAGTCAAAGATTACCTGAATTTAGACTCTGAGCTCTGGACAAAGAAGATTTGGCTCCTACAGTCCAGTTTACCAAAAAAGTAATTTGATAAGTCACAACACTCGACTCCAGAATGTAACTTGTTCATTATGGACGGAAAGTAGCTTAGGTGCTATGCATACATCTATTAAGTGAAATAATAGAACAAGAATGAAAAATGAGTGTCATTATTAGGATGACTAAATGAGTCTTGCATATTTCCATGCCTATATGCCACTGTTAGCAAAACAACACAACACTCACAGTTACATATGTTTTCTGGATAAAGAAACTAACATAGATTTGCTATGCCAAGATTTATGACAATAAAATGTTTGTCATTCGACTGCCCATTTATGGGCACAATTTTTACAGGTTATAGATTAAACGGGACGTACAGATATTGTAATTTATCAAATGAAACAAGTTCATCCGAAACAGAAAGTTTTGGGTTCATCCACACAACGGATTCCTGAACTAAAAAAAACATGATAAGATTGTCCAAAAGGTAAGTATGCTTTCCTACATGGAAATTGTAGAATCCAGTTCCATAAAAATTGGAAATTGAAATTTTAAATTCTTCTAAGGAAAAGATAACCTTCATACACTATTATAGAGGAACTTCAGTAAGCTCCATTTTTAGAATTGCTCGTTCTCGAAGGAATTAACATGTTTTGAAGTCAAAAGACTACTTCAATAGTTCAAAGAAAGAGAGAGAAAGAGAGAGAGAGAGAGAGAGAGAGAGAGAGAGAGAGAGAGAGAGAGAAATGATTTCACCAAATCATTTATCCTACAATATATATAGAAGTAAATAGAGAAGAAAAACCTAAGAACGAGCAGTTAACATATAGTACAGGATCCACACATGGTTTTGAGAAGCAGTGAATATGTTGGGAGATTATATTTAAAGCACTTCCTCTACTATCTACAAGCATAAAATGATAGAGTTAAGGGTGAAAGAAAATAAAAGCAATAGAAATATTATCAATTAAGATATTAACTTGCAAATAACTCGGGACGAATCCTTCCAGCCTAAGGCCAACATCTCGGTAAGAAACTTCCCGCCCAAGCTTAAAACTGACAATTTTATTCAACACAAGCTAATCCTAGGTATCAAATACTACCTCCTATTCTTTTTAAATGTCATTTTGGCCCAAGGGATCCACACATAGAGGTGTGGAACTAATTCTCCAGGAAGAGTGAGGTGCCCCATCCCCACTCTCCACGATAGTCCAGTTCGATCCCTTGACCTTCTTTTTCACATGGAGTTTCACCCTCCCACTAAGCCAGTGGACTACATGCCCTGTGGGCACTATGCAACTTTTCAAAATGGCATATATTATGAATAGGAGGGTGTACTAGTCTATTTAGATAGAGTCCTAACCCTAACTCTAGTTATATCCTAATGAATATTCGAAGAAAATCGGTCGAAAAGCCCAATTACTGTAATATACGAAACAACAATTAATCCTAACAGAAAAAAAAAAGTAGAAATCAAGAAATAATTACTTGAAACTATCTGTATTATATGCTCCGTACATTTTATAAAACGAATTTGCAATGCATTACACATAGGTTAACGGTGGATGGGAGCTGGAATGCTAAAGGGAAACTCCCAAGGCTATGAAACGGTCCAGAAACTCACCGTAAGACTCTTCCAACCTTCTAATAAACGCCAACTGAAGCAAAACTCCTGAAATTCCATTGTAAAAATGCCACTTCAGAAAATAGAGAAACCAAAGTAAACAAAGTAAAAACTCTTTGACTGACTTGCAGCTTGCTACACCAGCAACACAATATAGAAATCAGTATACGAAATCGTTATGAAATCAAATTCGAGCCACTCATTCAGAACCCATTGATGTTCTCAGTTTGCAGGTAAAAGACCACATAATCGACTACAAACGACCATATAATCGACTACACACGAAAAAACTAAAAGAAGATATTACAGCCAGAACTTTCTCAAGCTGATCAATTCAATTACACAAACTACCAATGCTGGATGTGGTGCTGATCAACCAACTTGAACGATCAATTAAGATGCTCATCGACTATGTACTGATGTCTAAAACAGTTGAAGAATACTGATTGTATATAAAAATGAAGCAAAAACAAATATATATACAAATTAAATGAGAAAATAAATAATCACAGATCAAAGTAGAAGATTTTACCGATCATCATCCCAACTGTTAAAATTATAAGGAGAATAAGGAAGAATCTCGTCCAGGAGGCCGCCATTGTTACCGGAAAGAGAGTTCAGAAGAGTGATTATCGGCAAATCCCACAGATCCGTTGACAAGAAACTGAAGATTGAAAGACTGCAGTCAGCGGCGCTGATGTAATCTCTAATTTTAATTTTAACTAACAAATGAACAATGATATTGATGAATTTAGGGATGCCTATATATATATAAAATATTTTGATTTTGTTTGGATTTTTTCTTTTGACTTGATTTTGATTGAAAAAAGTTGTATTGTTATTTGTTAATGAAATTATAAGTTTTTTTAGAAATAATATTTAAAATAAAATAATTAAATTTGATTTAATGTAAAAGTATGAGAGAATGACGTGAAGTGAAGTGGTGGTTAGTTAAAATTATGTGAGGTGATTAATAGTGAATTAATGTTAATGTAATATGTAAAATGATCAAGTGGTATTATTTAATTATTATGATAATATTGTGGATAGTGAGGAATATATAAATTTTTTTTTCGAACGAATAGAATACATAAGAACGAAACACATAATTAAATACTAGAAAATATCTAAAAAGGCGAATCAAACAGCCAACCAGCTAAATCTAATTGGGAGAGCTACACTAAGTGTAGTCTAGAACCAACCTAAAAAAAGCAAACACTAAGAACAAGAAGAGGCTCTCGCAAGTGGAGAAAAAAAAAACTCCCAACATGAAAAACAAAAAAGCAAAAAAAGAAAACTAACTCAAAAAGAATACAAAGAACCCTAAACAAACATACAAGACACGAACGAAAAAAAATAAAAAATAAAAACTAATAAAGGACCTCACAGGGGCTACCAGCAACCCACGACTCGAACCAGCACCTAACGCGACGCACTAGGAAAAAACTGCACAAACCACGACCCAGCACAACAGGACTCGAAACTCCTCTAATGGGCTAATAAGGCCCGGGCCAATGGAACCTACCCCAGTACCCACAAAGACCAATCTAGGTCGGTCCACGCCACAGACTCCCGTGGACCGACAGACTCCCCTACTCAAACTCTGGAGCCGACGCACCAACACACAGCCACCGCCAAAGGAACCAAATTCTCAACACCAGGGAAGTTTAGTTGAGTTTGATTTGTGTTAAAAAAATAATTGGTTAAAAATAATTGAAAATATTTGAAAAATATTATATCCAAGCATCGCCTAAAAGTATTAAATAAATTGGGTAAATTTTAATACTTATAGTTTGACGAAATAATGCACTTTTAAACATATATATGTAAGACTAATTCTATTTACAGTCCAATCCAACTCAACTTAATAACAAAAAATTATTTATCTCTCAGTCTCCTACAATACTCAACCTTGCAACTCAATTTATCTTTATCCCCAACTCAACCTAAGAGCCTCTTTATCCTCAACCAAACTCAATCCAACCTAATTATTTATCTTTCCTCCACCTACACAACTCAAAATTACAATCCAATTTATCTTTAGAGAAATGCTATAATTACATAATATTGTATGTAAGAGTGTACATAACACTCACAATGAGTGTGGCCGACCAAAAAAAAAAAAATCATGTGATCTCACTCCATGTGAGTGTTGTATACACCTCTATGTACATTTATTATGTACTTGTAACATTTTTTTGTATTTATCTCCAACCTAACTCAACCTAAATATTTATTTTATTTTAATTTATTTTAAAATATAATTGTGTTCCAAAACCCATGAAGTGTTGTCTTTAATTGTAAAGAATAAAGGATATGTGAATTTTAGTATTTTTTTTACACAAAAAAAACACTTGTCCAATAAAAATTGAACAAATGATCCATTTCCAATAAGAAACGGATTGCGACCTAAGGTCACAATGTGACCTGGGTCGCCAGTTGAATGACCTTTTCTTTTTTTCTTTTATTTATTTATTGTCCTTTTCCCGTGACCATTGAGTTACGTCACAGATAAAAGTAGCTCAACTCAGCCCAACCTAAAATATTTATTCTATTTTCATTTATTTGTTAAGTATTATATGATATATCATTCAAAAACAACTCGAAAATCCAGTCCGAGCTGTTAGTTAGATCAGGCTAGGAGAGCTCCCGTGCATATAGAAGTAAGATGCTCGGTCAAGTAGTAAGATGCTCGGTCAAGTAGCTTGTATATGGGCTTAAGGTACCGAGCTACTAGAAAAGACAAGACTTAGAGAGGCCGACCTCCAGGAGATCGACAAAGTAACAACCTCAAGGTATCGAGGTCGTGTGGTTTGAGGACAAGTTAGACTTAAAAATGAGGTCAGGCTAGACTTCAGAAGAGGTCTTATACGTTTCCAGAAAGGCAACAACGGACAAGTCAGGAGGTCTGAGTCACGACCTAAGGACCTATGGGCTAAAACAGTAAAGGGGGGAAAGAATCCTTGAAAGAAGAAAAGATCACTCGCTCAAGGACTCTTGTCCAGATAGAGACGTGGTAAGTTAGGAAAGTAAGATCTAGTTGGATCTCTTACCCAACAGGAACTCTCTTCGGCCGCAAGGTATTTGCCATATATAAGGGCGACATGTTCCTTTCATCCATGATCACATTCTATGCCTTTATTTACATACTCTTACGTATACAGTTGAGCAAGATCTGACTTGAACGTCAAATAATTTTCTGCTGGGACCCCTTCCCAGTTGAGCAAGATCTGACTTCAATGTCGAATAATTTTTTGCTAGGACCCCCTCCCGACGTATTGCAGGTCATCGGAACTCAAGGACGAAGATCAATAAAAGCGTAAGGTGTTCAAAATTGTCCGTGACCCAAAAGAACATAAAAAATAAGTGTCGTCTATGGGAAACTTAGTCTTTTACCGGCTATAAGGGGCTGATGGTATTCTCACAACTCCAAGATTCAGAAGGCAGTTAAAAAAAAAAAAAAAACCATTAAAAAAAAGCTTCAACAAAAGCATCAAAAGGCAAAGAAGTTCAAGTCATTATCGAAGGTCCCCCAAAGCGGGAAATTCACAACACCGGGTGGAAAGGAGATTGCAGTAGTCCAAAAAGAACAGCCCGAAACTACCCTAAGCTTCGGGCTAGAAGATGTTGCGGGTGTTTTGGTCCCACACAACCATGATTTGGTCATAACTGTAGAAATTGAGAGCTACGTGATATGAAGGGTCATGGCAGACATGGACAGCTCGTTCGACGTTATTTTTCTCTATTATTTGGAGTGAATGAGCCTGAAGGAAAAAGTGAACCCAATTGATACAACCCTTTACGATTTTAGTGGCGATAAAGTCAAACCAGTCAGCAAAGTATGCTTGACAGTCATACTAGGCCAGTTACGTTTGAAGACATGAATGTTGATAAGATCCTTCCAGAATATTTGCTACTAACAAATTAAATTCAACAACAATGACGGACTACAAATATAATCCTCGCATTAGAATAAAAAAATCTTATCTATGTGATTAATCTAAATAAAAACAAAATAACACAAATAGTTCCATAAAAGTAGCAAGTTAATAAGTCGTTGAAATTAATCCAACATAGTCAAGTACGCAGGGTTCGACATCCCCCAAAATTAAAAATAAAAACTATTCTAACATAATAAATAATAAAAGAAATAGAATAATACAATTATCCTCCTCGGATGCGGGTGCAATCTCCTTCCGTGATAGATCGGGTTCCCAGTCCGTGGCTGCTTGCAGCGCCTTTTTCCCCCTTCTCCTGTTGCTGCGTGAATTTTTTTTATTTCCTTGGTGGCTGCTAAAATCTATATCTATATATATAAAGAGAGAACCTATTTACTAAAAATAGTAACTAGACAAGTCAACCATCATTTATTGCATTCTATTTTCGACAGTTTTTTAATATTATTTTTAAATAATTCTAAAAAAATCGAGTAGCTATATATGCCCCTAAATTCATGGGTTTTGTAGATTTGATTTAGGTAAATTTCTACTCATGCATACAATTTTGCAAAAGTCAAAATTCTTTCTCATTTTTTTATAATAAAAAAAACTGATTACCATAAAATTGAGAATTTCGAATTAGGCAAAATATTATCGCATATATCTTTTCGTAATTGCAACAGATCAATTGTTTACTAAAAAAATTGGATTTCAAAGAAATCGGGTTAATTTAGGTAAAATTCGACATGACAATTTTATAAAAGTCCAAATTCTCTCATTTTTTATTTTAAAAAACTGTTTACCATAAAATTGAGAATTTTGAATTAGACAAAATACTATAACATGTATCTTTATCTACTTTCAACAGATCATGTTTATTAAAAAAATCAAATTGCATAGAAATCGGCCCAATTTTAAATTGATAATTAAAATTTAAAAATCACATATCATTTGACTACTATTTTCTTTAGTTCGATTTTTTTAAACATAAAATGAAGTTAGATGATATTAGTTTGAAATTAATGATATCAGATTGAACATCCTAAAAAATTGGGTTTTGTTTAATTCTATAGAAAAACTAATAGCATTATTGACTCTGGTCAACCTTTTCTCTATTTTAGGACGTACGCATGCCTTTGCCATGCATGCATAGTCTCTTTTTATTTTTGCCTTCTTTGGTAATTTTTGTATTTATTCTCAGACTTCTTCTTAGCCTTAGATTGAGATCCGACGGTCGATATTAGCTCAGACTTTGTATATAATTATCTTCACATGCTTCTAGGTCAAGTGACATTGAATGATAGAAATTACAGCTGCAAGTTTATTCATTGATATCATTGCTTTCCTCTTTGGTGTTTGATTTGATATACAATGGCAACGGATCTCGGCCATTATGGTATCAGAGCGGGTTGATCTAGACCTGTCTCTTTCATCTTAATGGTTACAGATCTATTTATCTTATCTCGGTTTGATTCTTCATACATTTCTTCTTTCTTGCTTGTTTTTCCAAACCAAAACTGAGAAATGGCAAGCTCATCCTCTGACACGACTAGCTCCAGTCAATCACCATCTGTGATCCAACCACAAGCACAACTGGTGACTGTGAAACTAAATGAAAGTAACTACTTGGTGTGGAGACATCAAGTCTTGGCAACAGTGAA